AACATTTGCATTTAAAGTGCGCTTGCTTTTGTTTTTGGCGTATAGAGAAGGAACATTAAATTTATATAAAGCATGCTTATCTTGGTTATATAAAGAAATACTCTGTTTGAATATTACATTTTTGGTGCTTGCTTATCTTGCCTTTACATTCGGTGCGTGCTTATATTAATTATAAACTTATTGACGATTGTTCTTACATTTCAAGCGCGCTAGTTTTGGTTTTTGACTTACAAGAACATCACATTTAGACACAAGCATAAAACTTAGAGCGTGCATACCGTGGTTTTTGGGTTGTTTTGATTTACAGAAGAAGGAAAATTACATTTGGAGTATGTCTTTCATGGTTTTTGCGCTTGTGTTGGTTTATGGTTTATAGAACCAGGAATATTACATTTGGAGTGCGCCTTTCTTGGTTTTTGCGCTTGTGTTGGTTTATGGTTTATAGAACCAGGAATATTACAGTTGGGAGTGCGCCTTTCTTGCCGTGCGGATCGAACGAACCGTATCGCATTGTGCCCTGATGTAATAATGAGATGCACGCTCCGTATGTGCTCAGCATACGGACCGTGAGTAATAGTGACGGTTTGTACAGAACGTAAGTAGAATGAAAATGCCGATACTGGCGCATTTTCATTTTAACCCTGCACCCAACCACACCCTTAAAAAAATCTTATGGTGCGTGTTATCCATAGGATTTTGAGCGAACTCGCTTCGCTCCTTCTCCGTGGGGGTGGGGGGTCGGCTGCGTTCCTCTTGGGTTCCTCTTGCGTTCCTCTCATTGTGCCCTGAAATGTCCATGCGCTAGTGTGTGCACCCCATCCTCCAAGATTATCCTCTTGTCATCGTTGGCTGACAAAGCAACCTTGTTCATTTCCTCTGTGTAGACTTCATGCGCACGATTTCTTATTACGTTCATCTTTCTCAACTGCTCCTTACCTGTGAATAAACAGTTCTTGTAATCCTCAAACTGAATACTTTTCTTGACAACAGGTTTCTTGACGCCTTTGCATTTCTTTTCCTCTTTACCCTCCAACATCTTGTATGAATATAATTTAGCTCTCAGTCCTACAAACTCTTCTATGATCTCACCTCCTGCCTCATCTTTAAACATGCCTACAACCTTTTTGTTATGCCCAGCTTCAATACCGGATGGGTGATCCTTTGAGAAATTACTTGTGTCGAACTTGGCTCTAACATCTCCAGAGATGTCTTTGTAAAAATCGTCAGTCTGTACCTCATATGCTATACTGTCAGTGTCGGTGAACAATAGCTTTGCCTTGGTATCATATTTCTTCTTCATATAGTTGTAATGAAAATCGTACATAAGTGTTTTGCTCAGATCAAGAATGCACATCCCCAAGTATACAGGCTTGTTGAATACTAGCTTTGTCTTTTTCATGTGTATGGCCACCAGGTTCTCGTTAAAGATATTGCAATGCTTGTAGTTTGGTTTTGCGGCTAACTTCTTTGCTTTACCCTCACTGTTAACCAGCCTGATGTCTACGCGACTTCTGATATTTTCCATTGTCTTGCCGAATACAGAGTTGTTCATGAGCTTGAAGAAGTCTTTTTCAAACTCATTCGTCCCCTTTGCTCGCAGATTCGTGTTCAGATCAATGTATTGTTTCAGCCACGCGCTTTCCTCGAATTTTATGCCTCTATAAATCCTTGTAATCTTTAAACCTAGGCTCTCATACAGTTTGAGGTTTTCATAGTGAATGACATACTTTTCTTTGTCATTGAGATTTGGAATTAGTTTGTCAACCTTATTCATCTTGATACTCTCAGGTGCTAAAGGATAATCGTTATGTAAATCATGCAATTCTTTGGAGTACTCCATATCAACCTCTAGTATACAGCTATGATTTTTCCACGAGTTAAGTTCACTTTCGTCCATCCATTTGAAACCATGTGTAGGAAGAGGTTTGGACATGGCCCATCCATAGAGGTTGTTTGCGTCTAGATATGTAATGTATTTTGACAACTCATTTTTGTTGAATTTGTCGCCCATGTATTTGTTGTTTGCTTTTCCAAACCTATTGCTAATCATTGAGATTCCACCTCGAATACCTTTCTCAACCATGAGCAACATGTCTGGGTCGTGTAACAACTCCAACTTAACTCCAGTTATCTTCAAAGCAGCATCCCAAGCTAACCCTGGTGCTGTGTAATACCAAGCCGGATCTAAACCATAGTTCTTGATGCACACATCACGAAAGTTCTCAAAAACATCAGCCAAGAGTAATACATCAGACTGGTTGTACAAGTCGTGATAGTCTCTGAGCGTCTTCATCTCGAATTCATTCCACACTTTCTGGGCATGCTCATAGCCCTCATCGTTAATATCCTCTCCACTAAGCCTAGAATAGAATGCTTCTTTGGGTGGTATACAAGGCTCATCTAACCTTTTCAGTGAATCCATGTATTCATAGGGGTACACACCTTTTCTCAACAGTAGGTCCAGTTGTTTTCCATTATAGTATTTTGAAGTGTTAGTGAAACAGCTTTTATCTAAATTGCCTGTCAATTTGTCCAAACTAGAAGCCATGAACTTAAAGCTGTCAATGAACCTAAGTTGATGTTTTACATCTTTTTTCTTTCCTTTCTTGTCAATATAAGAATCAACAATAACATCCTTGGTAAAGCTTATGTACTTTTCTTCATTATTAGGGATACAGTTGATATCACCCTCACCCTTACCAAGATTTTTGATAAACAAGTGACTATCGTATCCACTAAGGTTGTGGAACACCACAGGTATAAACTTTGGCTTGCTATATTTGAGATTGCATTTGTTGTGAGCAGCACCTCTGAATTTCCCAGTATAATGGCAGTGATCTCTAACTTTATCATCTTTGTCGAACTCACCTTGGCAAATCCAGCACCTGGTCGCTTTCTCATACTCAATCTTTTCTTCTTTACCAAAGATCATCTTTACAGGCTTGTCAAACTTTTGATAAATCTCTTTGACAGTTTCTTCCAACTTGTCCACAAATATTTGCGCAACGTCTTCATCATCAGATTTAGCAGTATAGGCCACTGGCTTCTGTGAATAGACATTGTCATCAAAGCACTTAACATAGTAACAAAAACTAGAAGGGGTGTGTTTCTGATATTTCTTTGTATAACTCTTTTCTGCGCTAGGATCACAGGTATCTATAGGTTTTATTAAGGACTCAAAATCAGCAAACACTATGAAAGGCACTCTCATTGATCTAATATGATTATTAAATGAAATAGTTGAACCCTCTTCAGGCATTTCTATCTTGACAGCTTCATTGGAAGAGCAGAACTCTATGTGTTTATTTAATGAATCTTGGGAATGAAATGAGTTCAAACACCTCATACAAAAGTACTTTTCATGTTGCCTGTTGCCAGTTTGTGACGAAAGTAATCTGCTCATATTCTTGATGAGACAGTAATGTTGTCGCTCACCATCAGAAATTAACAAAAGGTTGATAGCTGTTCTGTCTGTGTATTTACTTACTCTGAGTGGGTAAACGCAAGCCTCAAAACCAAATACGTTCACGGAAATGTCAGGGTTCTGCTTTTCTACTTTATCAATTGCCTTGAGGGTAACTGGATATTCAATACCTTCCATGTTGACTTCTTCTGTTTGTACTTTTAGGATCTTTGAAGTACGCTCAGCATCACGCTCTACAGGGTGTAATGCTCTTGTGACGGAATATAGAAAACACTTGTCGTCATCATTTTTTAAATTGATAATTGCTTTTCTCGACTGCAGCGCCTTAGGTAATGGAATGTACGAGCTTCCACCGAGTGGTCTATACGAGACTGTGTGGATTTCGAGAGAGTCGATGGATTTAAATCGCCAGTTACTACCTCTCATCTGGAACGTTGTTATGCTTTCCATAATGCGATCAATCATATTCTGGTATATTTCATTTACATTTGTTCCTTCAAGGTTAACTTCAACGCGTGAGTGAAATGATGTGTCTTGGTTGATACCTTCGCCAGGAAAAATGTTTACTTTTTCCATAACAAGGTTAAGGATGAGTTTTACCTTTGTTCTACGTTTGTTTGCTAATAGGGTGGTTACAGTTCGTCTTACAGCATTTAGGAACGATTCTGGGTCATAACCCGCCCTTCCATCTATAACATACTGAGTGGTAAAATTTCTTAGCGATGATCTTTCCTCTCTAAATGTAAAACTTACTGGTGATTTTTTCTCAAATAGGCTCAATATCTTTTGTTTGGTTGATTCGAATGCTGAAGATATATTTTTCTTACTAGCGATCTCCTTGCTGGTATCTACTAACCATTTGGTCCAGTCAACTATATTTTTGCTCGTCTTTTGCAAGACATCTTTTACTTTATTGGTAGTCGTCGTGACAACTGTTGGAGTTAAAACTGGAACATTTATTTGTGGATTTTGAATATCCAGTATGTTAACAGGAGCAGGTCTTTGTGTTCTTGGTGCTGGAACAGGTCTCGGAGCAGGTCTCGGAGCAGGTCTTTGTGTTCTTGGTGCTGGAACAGGTCTCGGAGCAGGTCTCGGAGCGGGAATCGGTCTTTGAACAGGGGTACTCGATACACGTGGTGCATCTAATAAGTTTATCAACTCAGCCTTTCGTAAGGCTGAATAACGTTTCATTCCACGCTCTTTGGCGATAGATTTCAATTCTTTGACGGTTTTCGTTGCGAGAGACATTGTTTTTTTTATTACAGAAAAAAATTCTTTATAGCATTTCAATTTTCTCAATTTCTTTGTGTGAAAATACGTAACGGTGTCGTTAAGCATTTCTTATTGAAAAGATACCAAGTATTCGTTTGCACGCTTTTCTGTGCCTTCATAGTTGTAAAGGGAGGCAGGCCTCTTCTCAAGGAATTTTGCAGCCTTGTAGAGACTTGGGTAGCTCACAGTATTCCCATCCGCATCTGTGAGGATGACAGCACGAGGTTTAGTGCGAATTTCGCGCAAGTGAAGATATTTAGGGTCGATCTCTCTGGGTTCTTTTACTTCTTTTGGTTCTTCTGGGGCAACCAATCCTTTTTCTCTTAAAATCTCTAGTATTTCTTTTTTCCCTTTTCGACTACAACCTTTAATTCCGTTAGCCTTGCATAGGGCATACAATTCTGGCAATTTATTTATCATCTTTTTTTGTATGATAAATAATTTTCTTAAGTTTTTTTCAAAAATTTCTTTTTACTGTATGCTTTTGCCATTTTTGGCGAATGGCTTTTCAGACCTGGAAGCTCGGCAAAAATGCCGAGCTTTTTATAATGGTCTTCCTTGAATTTAGATATTCTGTAGAATTTAGTACACAACATTGAAATTGTTTCCGTTTGATTGCATCAGCAGCTTTCGTTCACTCAAGACAAGGGTAAAAGCATGCGTATTCGCAGGTACTTTTTGGTTGAATCGCGCCCTAATCCTTATATCGAAAAAACTAAACATCTTTTGTCTTTCACTTTGTTTTCTAAGATCAAACACATAGAACGGGTAAAGATTTTTCCATTCCGATGGGGTGATATTACAGTGACCTTTGTAATTCACGCAGAATTTTAAAAAATCCTCGAAGACCCTCGCAAATCTATTATTTTCAATGTCGAGATCATAATCAGTTCGAGGGTAGGCCTCACCATTAAGAAATACTGACATGCTTTGCACATTACAGTGGTCGAAGATGCTTGGGTTTTGATCCTGGTCGTTCTCTTTCCCTGTCTGGAAGGCCACAATCACGTACCGCGGCTTTTCAACACTCAACCTCAGCCTCCAGTCAAAATTTTTACTCTGGGGTACGGCGATGTCGTCAACATCTTTTATTATATGATCAATCTCCAGATTTTTCTCCTCCTCAATTTGCCTCATTAGGGTTAACCACTGCCTCATTAGGGTTAACCACTGCTCGGCAGTCGTGGATGCTTTAAAGATAGCCTCATTATCAACATTTCTTTTCAAAATTAAGGTGTGAGGCAAGTCGTAGACAATTTTGTTTTCTTTACAAAAACCAAAGATGTCTCTAAGGGGGATCAGTACCTCAAAACTACCTTTTTCTCTGGGGGTTTTGACAAGCCAGTCTTGTTCCAAAGTAAAATTATTGGTTAGCATTGACGTTGCCTGACCAGGATATCGAATTCTTTCAATCCATACATCGTTCAGCTCGTATCTAATCTCTGAAAACAAATGCATGACGCCTAGAGAAACCAAGTCGGTGCCAGCATACGCTGAGCCATCTTCTTTAGTCAGTCTTCCGCTTATCAATAGGTGCGAATCGCTTGGCTTGCAGTAAAAATCTGGCATATTAATTGCGATTCTGATTTCGCCTCCATAGTTGTTGAGTTCTTCCTTGTTTGAGCAAAACTCAAGGTCAGAACAAAAAACATTTTCACTATTTATCATCTTTTTATAATGATAAATAATTTCTTTATGTCATTTTCAAATTTTTTCTTTTTCTGTAGAATTTTCAAATTTTCTTTTTTCTGTAGAATTTTCAAATTTTCTTTTTTCTGTAGAATTAGTACACAACATTGAAATTGTTTCCATTGCTCTGCATAAGGATCTTTCGATCACTCAAAACTAAAGCGTAAGCTTGTGTATTCGCTGGGACGTTTTGGCTGAACCTTACCTTAATTTTCATGTCGATTGTCGTGGTCTTCAGCCTTTCGCTCTGCTTCGTTACGTCAAACACATAGAAAGGGTATAAGGTCTTCCATTCTGAGGGGCTTATATTACATTGGGCTAATTCGGCCGTAACTCCCGTGTAGTTTGCACGGAATTTTGAAAGATCCCCGAACAGCCGTGCGAATTGGTTTTGGCTAATATCGAGATCATAGTCCGTTCGGGGGTACTGGATGTTGTTTAGGTAGACCGTCATGCTTTGAACATTACAGTGATCGAAGATGCTTGGGTTTTGCTCCTGATTGTTCTCTTTCCCTGTCTGGAAGGCCACGATCACGTAGCGTGGCTTTTCAGCGCCAGCCTTAACAGTCAACCTCCAATCAAAGCTACTGCTTGGTGGTACCGCGATGTTGTCGGCCTGCCGCATTCTGTAATCAATCGACAGCTCAGTCTTATCCTCAATTTGCTTTTTGAGGGCAAACTTTTCCTCATCGTTAGGGTCTACAATGGGTAAAAACCACGAGACTTTATCAAGTGTAACCTTACCATCATCAGCCGCAGCAGCTTTAAAGATGGCATCAGTATCGGCTTTCCTTTTTAGGGTCAACACCTGTTTCAAGCCGTAGATCACTTTAGTATAGTCCTCGCAAAATCCAAAGATCTCCTTAAGTGGGATCTGTACTTGAAAGCGACCCTTTTCCTGAGGGGAGATAATGATCCACCCATGCCTTTCGGTAAATCCTGTATTCGCTGTTAGTGACGCCGTGGCACCACCGTCTTTAGCCCACAGCGCATTTAGTCCCTCTGTTCTTGACTGGTCGTCGCTGATAGTTAGCGCCTTTAGCATCGTCATTGTTTGTCCAGGGTAGCGGAGTGTTTCAATCTCTTTCCCACCCAAGTCATACCTGACGCTATCAAACGAATGCATTATGCCATTGTTGGTGAGGGTTACTACGTCAGCGTTAGTGTATGCTGAACCATCTTCTTTAGTAAGACGACCGCTTACGAGCAAGTACGACTCACTCGGATGACTATACATATCCTGACTTTCAACGGTGATTCTAATGTCGCCGGAGCTGTTTAGTTGAGTGCCTGTAATAGGCGTATATTCCATATATTCATACTCTTTTATGCTATCGTCGAAAACGGCTTCTTCGCGCCAATTTAAAATTGCTTCTGATTTAGACATAACTTTTTTTATTTAGCGAGAAAAAAATTTTTTGTCATGAAACTCAAGTGAGAGTTTTACGACTTCATCTTATCGAGCGAACTTATATCGTTTTTATGCCACTTCCCGAGTAAGGGCTTGGAAGAAATGGTGTATTTATTGCACGACTAATAATGTCCTCTAGCTTTAATGTTTTACTTCTTGAAGTCCCTGAACCAGCAATTAATTTATTTATCATTTCGTCTGGAGATAGAGTTGGTTCCCTTGGCACCTTTACAGCTGGCGCCTTTGCAGCTGGCGCCGTCTTCTTTTTAGCAACTTTTTTCATCACAGCCTCTATTAGTTGTGCTGCTTTATCATCAGCCACACTCTGTGTTTTCTTTAATAAAGCCTTTCCTGCCTGCTCACCTGCCTTGCTTACAGCCTTTTTGGCTAACTTTTTTGCAGCCTCACCAGTCACCTTTGACGCTACCTTGCCTGCTAACTTACCGATGACTTTACCGATTGACCCGAAAACTCCACTTCCAGAATATCTTGGGTGTGTTGATACAACTTTAGTTGGAATGTACATTTTTTATTTAATCATAAGATTAAATTTTTTATAATCGTCTCTCTCAATTTCCCCCATTCCAAGCAAAGCCTCGAGAATACTGACGATCCTGTTTCTCTCACCAGTGTTACCTGCCTGATTGCTCGCAAAAGACAGCTTTAACTGTTCGAGCAAGTTGATAGGATCTGAGGGTAAAAATGTCACACCATTGCCTTTCTTAGGCGTTGACGCTCGGCTTCTCTTCCTCGGCGACTCGCGTTCTTTCTGCTCTGTCCAGATTGGTTTAAGGAGTTCTTTCCACTTCCACCCTTTATTTGTTTTAGGGCGACGTGGAACCTTCTCGCTTTTTAGGGCGTTTGTTCGCTGCATTAAGTCGGAGTAAGTTGCGTAGTCATTTTGTGTATATCCCTCTGGTCCCTTTGAGGTAATCAAACGCCATAGTCCTGGGGTACCTTCATATTCATCCCCATCGATTAAGAGGTTATTCCCATTGAATTCAACTTTGGAATCTCCAATGTAAAACTTGCCATCTGTAGGGTTTTTATAAATACCAGTAACATTATCGTACTCGCCTTGTTTACCGAGACTCTCAGAAAGCGCTTTAGTCGCGATATCCCAAAGTTCTACTCCTTTGAACATTGGAGGAGCCTCAATAGCCTTCTGTGCTGCATCGAAAGTAGGGAGAGTAGAAAGTGGCTCAAGTGAAGTTGCCACGTTCTGAAGCTCCTTCGTGATCTTTTCACTCTCCTCCTTTTGTGTGTCAATGATGGGCTTAAACAATTTTTCGCCTTGTGTGTAGATGTTTTTATCTGCTAAGAGCTTGTCAAAAGACTGCTTCTGAATGCTCTTCTTCATCCTTAGGTACTCTTGGATCGTTTCATCCCTCTTCTTAGGGTCAGTTATCTTTAAAAAACTCATTTTTTTTAAAGACCAAAAAAAAAATTTCATCTAATCTTTGTCAATTTTCAGTCGTATTTTGAATCTAATCTTGAATCTAATCTTGAAACTAATCCTGTAACCAATTTTGATTCTCAGCTTCGACTCTTTCGTCTCGTTGTTGACTTCCTTGTTAATATGTTTTTTTGTAGCTGTTCGAGGGCTTCCTTATGACCCTGCTCCATCCAGACGTTCCTTTGCTCGAGCTCGTTGAGTTCAACGCTTACCACGTGTGATATTTGCCTTTTCATTCGATCAAATTTCTGCCTCAAGCCGAGAACCTCTTTGTACTGATCCTCTGAAACATGACCATTTGAAATAGCATGTGAGGTAGCTGCCTGTACTCCAAGGATAGTGTTCTGACAAAGCTCTAAGATCTTTTGATGTTTCTTAAGCTTTAGGCCGAGTCTACGACCTGCGTATTTTGATAATACACTTGCAGCTCCGAATCCTAGTCCGACTGATTGGACTCCAATTGCGATCGGAGCACCTACAATCGTTGAGAGAACAGCAAGGCCTGCAGCAGTACTTGCAACGGCTAAGCCAGCACAAGCAACATCGATATTGTGAACAGTACAACGATATTTTTTATATTTCTTGACCAATCTCTCCCTCTCATCTTTTATTGACTCGAGATCCGAGAGCATCTGGTTAATGCTTTGCAACCTATATGAATGGGCGTTTGAGTCACCAAACGATAAGGAATCGGATGACGCTATAGATTCTCCATCCAGAGGTGGAGCCGATGGTGTCCTCAAGCGAGCACCCATTTCAATGTAATCTTCAGCAGACGTGGGTTTAAATTCCATTTTTATAATAGGGAGATTTTTTTTTATTTTCAATTCGTCATCAGTATACAAAGTGGTGACCCTTTTGGAATTAAGACACCTGGGTCAACATCGTCTATGGTCCTACGACGCCGACCCATCATGTTACCATTTCCATAATCGCCCATGTATCCGATCGACACTACAATGTTATCACAACTTTCCATCACCACTGAGTTGATCAATCCAAGTTTCCTATGTCTTAGTTCGTTCGGCAAAGACACCCAAAAAGGAGCCCTGCCAATCGTTGCACTCAGACCAAGTGCAATCATTTTTGGATCTAAGCCAATCCTCAGATCTTTTTGAGCATAGACGACTATCCTCCCATCGACTCTCTTCGGCATAAACTCAACAGGATGAGCCTTAATTTTTGACTTTTCTTTTTCAATTGACATACGTCTCTCTAAATTGATAAACTTATGTACTGGCATGATGATTTTTTAAATGCAATATAAAAAAATGGAACTCATTGACGTTGATAGCGTACTGCTCGAAAACAAACCTTTAACAAACGTTGAGCTAGTACAGACATGTAAACGGCTAGGAATACCAATAAGAGGAGTATTCATGCGAGACAATCTCCCTAAAAAACCAAGAAAGGATGAGTGTGCTATAGTTAACCTTGATGAGAGTCTAGGATCGGGCACTCACTGGGTTTGCTACCTAAAGAAAGGTTCAAAAAAGATGTATTTTGATAGTTTCGGGCTGTGTCCACCTCTCGAGGTGCAAAAATATCTTGGGAAGGGAATTAATTATTCTACCTACAAGATTCAATCGCCTGAACAGGTTATTTGCGGGCATCTCTGCTTACACGTCCTTAATAGACTAAAAACGACACCAACAATTGACTCTTTTGAAAAAATTGTTTGTAAATTATTTTAGGCTATTAAAAATAACAAGATGCCAGTTACAAAATTTGGAGTAACCACCTTTGGTGGTGAAAGTTTAAGAAACAACAGTTCTGGAAACACCTCAACTGCAGCTCAAGGTGGAGTAAGTCAAAGCTACGTTGATACAAACTTCATGCGGAAAGATGGCTCAAGTAGCTTTACAGGCGACATTTCAATGAACGGCCATAAGATTAATGACCTTCAGGGTCCCGCACCGGGTGACCCAGACAGTACAGCAGCAAACAAAGGTTATGTTGATCAATCTATCGCTGACGAGGCGGCGAGTATTTTTCAGACTGCCGGACAAACGTACCTATCAAAAGTAAACGGAGGTTCTATGGGCGGGTCGATCAACATGAATGGAAACAGTGTTACAGGCCTACCTTCTACACCATCATCGACTTCATATGCAGCTTCAAAAGCTTACGTGGACAATCAAACAACATCTACCCTACAAAGTGTTAACAACACGTTTCTTAGAAAAGATGGCGGTAACCCTATGACAGGTAACCTCAATGCAGATTCCTTTAGAATTTTAAACCTACCAGTACCTCAGGCTGGTAGTGATGCTATCAGCACGAGTTATGCTGATGGACGCTACCTAAAGCTTGATGGAACCAGTGTGATGACGGGCCAGCTCAATATGGGTTTTCAGACAGTAGAGAACCTCTAACCACCCACCACTGATAACCAACCAGCCACAAAAAAGTATGTTGATGAAGAAATCGTGAAGAGCATGACTTTGAACTCTAATTTCCTTGCCGAATTATCAAATGAGGTTGAGGTAACCTCGAGTGCAGCATACACCGGCATCGCGCCATGGTCTGTCATTCGAACAGAGGGCGATGATACAACAATTACGTCATTTGTCTTAACTTCTGATTCTCTTTCAATCAACGGCCAGGCTACTATCACCGTGACAACAACATATCGACTACCGAGCAATAGTTTTGCCCCCAAACTTGATTGCATATTTTCTTTCAGTAGGCAGTCTGACGGAACCAGCGTAATCGATCATCAAATCGAAAATCAGACCGCGGGTACCTATACGTTTACTATTTCCTTTAAAAAGGAAACAGATGGAAAAGACACTTAAATTTTGGGGTGCTGTCGAGTAATAGACGTTTCTTCGTTGAGACTAGTACACAGGTCGAGGTATTTGGTACTGGAGGAACTTATGTTAAGACCTCAGAGTTCAATCTAACAGACCTCCCCCTCGAAACTGGGACTTTACCGCTAGGAAATGGAACTGTTGCCCTACAAGATTCCCCTGAGGGAAAAAATAAGATTGTTCTAACACTTGTCGACTCAAACACGTCAGAGATAATGCAATTTGCAATATACCCTAATCTCCTCAACACAGCAATGGCAAACTGGGTGTTTAATGTAGGTGGCCCTATCACATTCCAAGACGCAAACCAGAAAACAGTTAATTTCGCGCCTGGAGGAGACTTTAGAATTATAAAAATTTCAGGACGTTAACAAAATAAAGAATTTTTTTTCTTGATATTAAGAAAATGGATTTTGTCACGCGAGAATATCCGAAATTTGGTACAAAGAGTACTATAATCAAAAAAGGCGGTGAGATAAAACTCGATAATGCGGTCATTGAAGAGAAAAAAAGAGATAAGTTTGGTAATTATACCGCTAGAGTAAAACTTGATCAAAGGACTCTTTCTAAGCTAAATGATAAAATAGAGGAGTTAAATGATTTTCTTACAGCAGCTTTTGGTAATGAAAAGGTTAAAAATGTTGTTTATGGTGACGCAATTTACCCAAAAATATCTGTTTCGATTCCTATAAAGGAAGTAAAACGATTGAAGCTGCGAAGCGTATACATTAATAGTGAAAATAGCTACCTTCAAATGTTTCTGCGTTAAAATTCATATAAGGAGTTTCGACCTTATATAAATAGAGTTGCTCGCTTAGGAGTGCCGCAGACGCGACCCTTACAACAAAATATTCAAAAAAGGGATATTTTTAAACGGGCTGTTTGGACCTAGGATCAAACCTTTCCCAACTGGACAATATCTACCTTTCATCCCTAGATACAAACCATCACCTTGAGGCATAAGAGAGCCACCAGATGACGTGCCTGTTGGTGAAAGATATAAGCCTTTCCCGTCAGACTCGATTTGGCACAGGTAACCTCCCTTTTTAAGATAAAGACCCTCTCCCACTCCTGAACCACCGAAGAGTGATCCCACAGCTTCATTTGCAAGCCCAGTCAGGGCGCCGATTCCTAAGGCCTTTCCGACAGCTGGCAAGGCACGCGCAGCCAGAGGTAAAGCCAACCTAGCAAGAGCAGCTAGAAAACCGCCTTCAACCTTTATATTTGCTTGAAGCTGCGCTTTACTCAACTTGATCGTAACGCCCTTTCCCTCCTGGTGAGCTTTCCCAATCTTATTTAACTGTGAATTTGTCAAGGCAAGAACATCATCTCCCTGAAGGTCTTCATGCTTTAACCTGATCGAAACTGCTTCTCCATTTTGTATTGCAGACTTGATTTTGTCTTTTTGACTCTCTGAAATGCTTACGCCATATTTCTGATATCTCGACATTTTTTTAATGTCAAGATATTTTTTATATATTTTTTTTATTACGCCTCTTTTATATGTAAGCGCAATGTTACCTTTTCACCACGCAGATTAAGCAATTTTCCATTCTGATCTGTAATTCGTACCCTAATATTCGAGATTTGCTTACGGTTCATTCGCAAATAAACAAGGTTGCGAGGAACCTCTATAATTTTATACCCTGGGCCCACGGCTGGAAAGAATGAGTAAATTATGGGCTTAAGGGTTCCATTAACATAGGCCCCTCCAACAAAATCTGCATTAATTAGAATTGAATTAACGGCTATGATTTGAACTGGGTTGACACTTTCGTTTGTAGGTGAGTTATAAGTTTGCGCTTCAAAACCTAACAATACTCTCAAGCTATCGTCAGGTCTAAAATCAACAACGTACCCATTTTCAAGTTCCATGATTACCTTCAAGGTGTTTTCATTAGGATAAATGTTAACGTAGGAACTGTCATTCACGGAATCATAGTGACCATTTGCCTTCATCTTCTGAAAAACTACGTTATTAATATCTTCTATTTCGTAGCTTCCAGTTTCAATCTCAAACTCGTAAAAATTTAGGCCGTTATCAGGTGAATACCTGAATTTATTGTTTTCGATGTTCGGAAACGAATAGTAAGTCTCGAGATTCACCAACGCAATTGAATATTCCTTATTTTCATCCAGTTTAAGCGGCGGGTTAAAGCTCTCCATAAAATTCGATTTATCCCCTGTCAAGACAATTTGTGTCTCCCACTTGGGTGTGGTGTTCTTGGAAATTTCTCCACTTATCTCGACTAATCTCTTGAGCAGATCTTCCATTTTTATATAATAAATATTTTTAATCTTTTAGAAATTTTTCTGGGATGTAAAACTCATCGAAGTTTTTTCTGTACCTTCCTCTATCTGGCTGACTACTCAGATCAATCGTGACAAAAGAGTGTGCACCCTTCCAAGATGACCTGCAGAAACTTCTGAACTCGTCCTTACTCATGTCATCAGATACATGGTCGTTAAAGATATGGTTGACGTTTTTCAGGTCCTGTGGAAATAGGCGAAACAGGTTGGCATTTTCTCGGATAGTTTGCCTGGGAAGCTTAAAATAGTTTTGGCTTAGGTATATGCAATCAACGTTTGAGTGCCTACCTCTGGTGTAATAATCCTCTATCTTGTTTTGTTTAGCTAGTATCAAATCGTCAAAGATCAGCAAGTTTTTGTCTTCCTTGTTGAGTTCCTTAGGATCTGGCACATCTTCGGCTTCCTCAAAGTATTCTACCTTGATGTCGCTTTTTACCTTTAATTGTTTGCCCATTTCAGTTATGACGTAATCCACGCCGACGTCGTCTTGCTTAACAATCTCCTCGTTCAGGTTGAAAACATTCAAAATGCATTGCTTCGGCAACCCTTCCTCAAAAGATTTCTTAATTATCTTATACTCTGTTTGAAATAAAGACTTCCCAAAGACAAAGAGCCTGTCGTAGTCGAGGTAACCTGGTGTAAGGAGTAAATTTAATAGTAGCGTTGTTTTTCCACACCCCGATTTCCCAACAACAACACAACGAATCGATTTCGGTAATAATGGGTGATTACAACGCATATTTTTGGCATTGTTCCATGATATGTCGCGAATGTCCATACTTTTTTTATATACGTATTAAAAATATGAATCTATATTGTGTCAAATGCAAGGCGAAGACCTCTACAAAAGACCTCACAGAGACAACTTCAAAAAACGGAAGACCTATGCTAAAAGGTTTCTGTGAAGTATGTGGGACTAAAAAGTCATCATTTACAAAGATGAATTCTGGTGGAAAAGTTGATATTCACTCGTTGATCGGGAAGCTTCCAAGGCCAAAGGCAGGTTGGACACCCCCTGGCTATAAATATATGGGCCCGTACAACCCGTTAGAAAAGCAGTTGCAATACGATCCAAATACTGGTGAAGTCCTGAAGTGGAATGTAAAACCAAAAAACAAAGTCGACGAGATAGCCGCGCACCACGACATCTGTTATGACATGGGCAAAGACAAAGGTGAATGTGATAGAAAAATGGTTAGTTCTCTTGACGCAATCCCTTATCGTGACATGCCGAAATGGGGAATGGTGGCTCGGACGATCATAAATAATAAACAAAAACTAGGGTTGGGAGTAAAAAAACTTTAAAATGGACTGATAAATTAGCTGACGAATTGCATAAACCTGTTTGTAGAAACTTTCCTAAAAGACGTGTTTACGCAGACGGTGTTGACAAGACATGGGCCGCTGATTTAGTCGAGATGACTGCGTTTTCTAAATTTAACAAAGGCATTAAGTACCTATTAATGGTGATTGACGTGTTTTCAAAATATGGTTGGATTACTCCATTGAAAGAAAAAGACATTTGAGAAGGGTTATACTCCTCGGTGGACAGAAGAAGTATTCACGATTTCACAACAACAAAATACAAGACCACCTACGTATAAAATACAGGATTACAATGGTGAAGATATTCAAGGCACGTTTTACGAACAAGAGCTTCAAAAGACTACACAGGACGTATATAGAATTGAAAAGGTAATGAAAAGAAAAGGTAATAAAGCCCTCGTAAAGTGGAAAGGGTACTCTGAAGAGTTTAATTCCTGGGTTGATAAGGATGAGCTTATAGACTTGTGAGTCGTTTCGGCTGATATCAAGCCTCATCAGAACGCCTAGCTCCTTTCAAAGCGGACGTTTACGACTCTCGAAGGAGAAGGAGAAGTGATATGAGTAAGTCCTGACTCAGTTACGTAACACCGCGGTGTTACACAACTTATAAAAATCCTCTCTATATCTCCACTCGTCTCTCAATCTTCACTCAAGCAATCCGCTAGCATCCGCCCTCGCATCCTTTCAAGTTCTTCTGCGTTTCTGTTCAGCTGGTATTCAAGAAACGACGTCTTCGAGACCCAATATGCTAGCGACTCCTTCGCTTTGTTCCACTGTTTCAACAGCTTCTCCCTCTCAGATTTCTTGTTGTTCCATGATCTCCTGAGGTCTTCTTTCGGTAATGAATCTTTTACAATGACGCTTTGAAGAAACTCAGCTACTGTTTGCACTGGTTTTTGTGGTGGTACTTGTTTCGCTGAACAGGCTGAGATCAAATCTGTGTCGTCGAACTGCATATCTTCGCTGTGTGCGTGCTCCATGTTACTCATATCACCTTCTGACCTCCTTTCACAACAACGTAAAGTCTTATGGGCCTTATGACGTCAGCAGGCATACCAAATATCCCTAGCAACTTGAGTTGCTTAACGTCAACACAAAAATTATTTTTAGATTAGATGGTTGGCAGGGATAAAAGGAATGTCGCTCAGTGCCGCTAATATTGTTTGTGTTATAAAATGGAAAACGTTCTGCGAAATAAAGCGTTCCTTTTGGGAGCGCAAGATCTAAAAAAGTCTACTCGTAAAAACAAAAAATGGGCTGTTCTCTACAATAACAAGTGGATACATTTTGGAGATAAGAGGTACGAAGATTACACACAACATGGTGATGAGGCGCGTAGGGATAGGTATCTAAAACGGAGCACAATGATAACAAACAAGGAAGGAAAACTAACCGCTTTTAATCCCCAATCACCGAACTACTGGAGTATCAGACTCTTGTGGTAAAGTTCAAAAAAATTGAAATCAAGTCAAAGAAAAAATAATGTGTTAATAAAAAACATGGTTGACAATCAACTCCATTCACAGGACAGAAAATCCTCAAGATCGCCAAAGAAGGTGACGTGAAGAAGGTACATATGAGGCTTACGCCTAAGAAGCTACTTTTCATCAAGAAACTTGAGAAGGAGCATGGCCATGACTTCATATTCAACGACAATGAAATCATGGTCGAAATCGTGGATGAAAGAGTTCTGCTGATGACAAGAGGATCATCTTGGAGGATGGGGTGCACACACTAGCGCATGGACATTTCAGGGCACAATGAGAGGAACGCAAGAGGAACGCAAGAGGAACGCAAGAGGAACGCAGCCGACCCCCCACCCTCACGGAGAAGGAGCGAAGCGAGTTCGCTCAAAATCCTATGGATAACACGCACCATAAGATTTTTTTAAGGGTGTGGTTGGGTGCAGGGTTAAAATGAAAATGCGCCAGTATCGGCATTTTCATTCTACTAACGTACGGTCCGTTAACTGCTCTTAACAGTGCGGCAGTATTGGACATGACTGGAGGCAGGCTGCTCAGAAGACGCGTCATCTGTGGAACAGACCATCATGTTCCTTAAACTGACGTCGCGCTTGTAAGCC